AAATATCATGAAATTAAGTGCAAATAAATAGAAAAATTTACTTTGTTGGGTGCAGAATTGGAGAATTTTTAGAGTGACATGGTCTTAGTGTTTAAAAATTTCTCCTTAGAGTGACATGGTCTTAGTGTTTAAAAATTAAGCGAGAGTTAGCCTTCAGGTGAATGAAAGTGGGAGCTCTGGAGTGGGAGCCAGTATTCTCCTAGCATAGCCACAGATTTGGGGACTAAACCTGAGATTAGCCAATGATTTTCTATAACACTGTATCAGAGTAGAGAATTAAAACTGTTCCTATTTGACACAATACATATTAAAACCATTTATCTCATTTCATTTTACCAAAATCTCATTATAGTCAGAAATGTTTTTTCACATAAGAAATCTTCATCACATAAACATAGTTTAATAGTTACTATTTAAACTTTGTATTTCAATTTTGTTATTAGTTAAATAATTTAGTTCTGATAATATCTCAACATTCGAAATTAGTGACAATAATTTTGTTTTGACTTTCTGTGAATTTCCTAATAAATTTATCATTTTAAATTTAAATCTTCCCCGTGGGATCGATATTTGGGTTTTAAATAGAAAGTCATTTATTACTTGATAACTATACGGATACTTGCGTATAATCCCAACATTAATTGCTTAAATTTCTGATTCATAAAATATTGCATCAAGCTTTTGACACCGTTGCATAGTGAAGTCAATTATTTAATTTTTACACAACTATATTTCACTTGGGATCAATATCCAACATTGACCAAATAATATTTCTCTGTTATGAAATACACTGTTAATGACAAATAATACATATAACTAGTATGTTTACAAATTAAATCATACCTGAAGGCGGGTGAGGAAAACACTGTGATATATTCCTAGTTGTATAGGAAAAAATCTGAATGTCATACACACTCCCTTCTCAGTCTGCAATGACAAAAGTGAAATACATGTTGAAGTCACATATCGTCATGACATTTCGAGTAGTTGAACCACTACGACCAATGTACGCCACCTTGTCCTGGCTGGGTAGCGGACATCGACGTGAGTACCGTCAATTGCACATATACAGTTCTGTTTTACAACGTTAGAAAAAACATAATTTTGGAAGTAACGTAAAGAAATCAATAGTTACCTTGAAATAAGGCATGTAACGGAGATTGTTGGCAATTTCCCCTGGAGTACTAGCAAATGATGGATCATCTGGTTTAACGATTTGAGCTGCCAAGCTAACGAGTGCCTGTATGCCTTTGGAGAAGTAATGACTTATTGTTTCCGATGAATGCCGAAACCTTTCCATAGCACCTCAAATAGATTCATTCTGTGACAGAATGTATATTGCTATGGCCAATACCTCTCTTCTCGTCGTTCTAGAAGAACCTTGGAGGTCGAGATTCAGAGATAACTCGTTCAGGAGATCCATAAAAATAAATACACTGATTCGAAATATGTTGCTGAATCTTATTGGATGTCTAGAAAGCATTTCATCTACCCATTTATCCCCAATAAAACTAGACGTCATAAGGGGTATACGAACATCGCTGAATCGGTATACTCCAACAACAATATTGTAATAGCTGCAGCCCATGCTATTCTTTTACAGCTATAGTGGCCTATAAAAGAAAAACATAAAACTAAGTGTTTTTGAGATGAGAATTCTTAGGTGGATGAGTGACTTAACACTTAGAGAGAAAATGTGAAACAAATGCATCTGTGAAACTGTTGGTGTAGCTTCAGTGGAAGACATGATTAGAGAGAGCAGTCTCAGATGGTTCGATCGCATTAATTGTCGACCATCTGAAGATCATGTTAGGAGAGTGGATGTTTTAGATGTTACTTGTTAATAAATGTAGAGGTAGACTTAAAATTACTTTGGCATATTGTATAAAAAATGATCTTAATTTATTAAAATTAAATGAAAATATGACACTCAATAGATCACAATAGAGAAAAAAGATTCATGCAGCTGTCCCCACTTAACGAGATAAAGGCTTGTTATTTTTGTTGTTGCAAATTGGCAAAATATGCACACAACTATTCACCTTTTCCTCACATGTACATCATTAACACAAGTACGTCATTGAATTTCTTTCAATTTTTTTGATATGTTTGTTTCTTAAATCATATTTTCCATCTATGATATATTAAAAATATTAATTTCGTGATGTATTCACATTTCCTCATGATAGATAATATGTTTTGTGATACACCTCTACCTTTTAAAATATTTGCAATCAGAAAACATGACATAAGGCTGATTTTTGGTAGATGCGTGCATTCAGTCGATTCCGCTGTATTGGTTGACGGATTTATTACACTAATTGAACCAAATTAAATTATAGGCAAAGTTTTGTTGAATCTTGAATTCTCTGTGAACTCTTACCACCCAGATTTGTATATTTTGGAAGAGAAGATAATAGAGAGGAGCAAGAGAACAATAGAGAGAGAAGCTTTGAAATTTTATTAATTGAGAAAATGATGAATAGTGTAGTGTTCGTTACTTCCTGAGTGTTAATTTTGACACTATTTATAAGTTTGAGTTGGTATTCACTAGACTACATAAGGGTCTACATTTAATGTAAGAACTGAAACTTACCTTTTCTTTCTCCCTATTTCCCCTATTATTGCACCATTGATGTCTTTCCTAACTTACTCACAGCCTCATTGACCTCCCAAAATGCGATTATTTCTTTTCCTTCCTCCCGCGCTCATCTGCCGCCTTCCCAATCAGCTCGATCACATCGCCTCTCTGTTCTATTAAAGTCGAGCTTGGGCTAGGGTATGAACAACTCCCTCTTGCAGACCTCTACCAAAGCCCTTTGATCTCCCTTCTCTCTTCATCTCTCCCTATTTCGCTCAAAACCAAATACTTCGTGATAGCACCCCATGCGATACTGTCATGGTTGGAGCTAACAGAGAATGAAACGACAGGATCACAACTTACGGAATCTGCCGAAACTCCCTCCTACCGTTCGCGCCTACTCGAAACCGTCAAGGAAGGTAACACTTGCTTTCCTCCCTCTCGCGCAATACAACTTCTCTAAATCTCGATTAAGGGCAGAGGAGGAACGAGATTTAAGAAACAAAGGATTAAAAGATATTTTTTGTTGGTTATTATGTTTCCTTGGTAAAATTTATTCTGAAATTTATTTTTTCTCCTTATCAAAATATATCAAAACTAAGATATTTTTTAATTATTAGTTCAAGTTTAATTAGGTTCATAAGTTTTTATTGTTAGTAATAATAATAATAATAATTATAATAATAAAAATAATGAAGTAAGAAAAATAATGATTGTAATAATAATCATGATAATGAACGTCAATTAGATTATACCCAAGTAATAATTGCATGGTTAATCTTACCTCCTAATTGATGTAGGATCGATAGCCGAATAATTGAATTCAAAAGTATCATGTTTGCCGTCTTGAGGTAACTGTTGATAAACGTACCCTTTCTAGTTATGGGTGTTATCCTTGCTAATGATATTAGATTTCTAGCAAATTTTTGGGTGTGATTTGTACCTTTCAAATCTTGTTCACATCATTGCAGTAGTTTTCACTTTTTCTCATAATGACCTTAATGGGTAATTAGCCTTGTTTTATTTTGCTCGGCCTCATGTTTTGTTGTTCAACCTTCATAATTTTAATATTTATTATTTATTTCATATATTTGATGTGGCAAATTTCATTAATTCGGTTTCATAGTTTTTATGAAGATTGATGTATATTTTGTAGTTGTATTCTCGTGTTGATTGTGATGCATGGAATATAACTAATATTATAATATATTATGTAGGTATTAAACCCTTTTGCTATGACTAGCCTGACCGATGGATTCTTCAGAGATGTCCACCTTTCCTTGTTTCAGGGTGTCGTAATAAACTGACCACACACACGCACACACACGTATGGATGTATCGAAATTATATACTATCAGGTAGTGTGAAATAAATGATTATTCATATAGGGACCATAACACCTGTTATTGTAACATGTAAATACCTCAAAAAGTGCATGGGTTCAAGTAATTTTTATTCGTGATCAGAAGCATTTTATAGTCCTTACAAATTCGTTTATACACATAATAAATTGTCCATATTTATTGGTCATAATATATGCCTCATTTTTGTTACTGTTTATGCTTTAATAAATAATAGTTATTTACTGAATTAAATTTTTAAACTCACCCATTGATATTTTCATATAATAGGTTTTATCCTTTCACTTATCAGGTCATCTATATTGGAACATACTTCTTATATTTAGATTTTTTTTTATTTATTTTTTCAGTTTCGTATGATTTATTGTATTTTCTTTATGGGTTATTTCCTTATTTTCATTTTAGTTTCTTTCAGTTGTATGGTCTCCTTATTTTTGAAATAAAATTTTGATTTATTTTTATTTCTTTTTATTATTACTTGCATATTAATTTTCTTCTAAGAATATAAAATATGTTCAATTCTCTTCATCATGTCTTGTGTTGCCGAGGTGTATCGCCTTCCGGACCCGAGGTGTGACATTTAAGTTTTATCAAACGTAAATGCATATGTATTGTGTGGTATGCTTGTAAATTTCCCCGAGTTTTAATTTCCCATCTAGAGGATGAATATGGTTCAACCAACAAATAAGAGACCATACTTCGTGCACAAGTCTTAACAAATTGTGTTCTGATGACATAAAATTGAAAAAAAAAGGGGCATTTACATATAAAGCACACAATTCATACATACTTACATATCTCACACCAAAACTTTCATATTTACACACATAGCATAGTGCTCAAGTCTTTAATATCACATCAAAAATAGCACTATTACATTTTCTTTAAAGTGAAATACACCTTTCCATGCATAAATTCAAAGCACAAAATTACTATATATATATATATATATATGAAAGCTTAGATGTGAGAAATGTAAATACCTAAGAATTGTGCGCTATTAATGTAAATTTCCCTTGAAAATATCATTCAGTAATCTCTATCTTCATACTTCTCAGGTGATGAGTTATCTGTAGATTGGGACAAGGCCTGGTCAAGCTACAGAAAGCAGAAAAAGAAGCCATTTTTCTCCCAGTTCAACTCAGACAAATATGTCAGCTGGAATCCCCGGCGGGGGGGGGGGGGAGTATCCATTTTCGGAAGAGTTCGATCCGATCAAGAGAACCGAGAGGTCCAATCTGACGCCATGGACGAGCCCAAACTTCACCCTGGTTGGAGCCATTATTGTGGTTTCTTTGCTTCTGATTTACACACTCATGGCTCCTCTTAAATAGCTTCATTCTGCTCCAGTCCAGACAACTCATTTTTATGAGTTTTATTGCCAGAAATATCACCAGAAATGTTAATATTTAGTACTTTTGTGTGTCACTGTAATATTACAATGCTGTATATTGGTAATGTATAATTGTAAAAATAGAAATATATGATGTTAATTTCAGTATATATATATATATTTTGCATAATGACTTGATTTTTTGGGTCTGCAATTAGCATTTGTTTGCAGTGGATAAATTGTTATATTTTAGTTTTATTATAACTTCCTTTTTGCTGTTTTTTAAAAATTTTATTGTTAAGTAGGGCCGTTAATGATTCGATTTCGAGCCCAGCTCGGCTCGAAATCAGCTCGTGGCTCATTATATTTGATTTCGAGTCGAGCCTGCCCAAAATTGAATCGAGCTTGATTTGGCTAGAAATAAAAAAGAATAAGCTTAAATTGAGTTATTGGATCCGTTCCATCTTGGAATTTGCTCGATCGGGCTCAAACTTAAAACTAACAAGCTTAAATTGGGTTATTGGATCCATTCCAGCTCGAAATTAGCTTATATTTAATATTATTTAACATCATATGTATAATTTTTAGAAATAAGAAAGCACGAGCTGATCTCAATTCAATTTGAGTTGATTCGAGTATGACTCGAAAAAAAAAAAAATTCAATCCAAAATTTTGACTCACTAATTGCTGAGAGCAGCTTTTTAAAGAAGTGATTTTATAGCACACTAAATTTATAGCTATTTTAATAGGTTATTGTCAATGCTCCAAACAGGCATTGAATCAGTCTGTTCTGTAAATAATTCTGAAGTTTTGTCAAATAGGACTGATAGATCATATTTTAGGAAAAGCCTTGTGTGGTTGAACCGCCTTACGACGGTTCGGATGCAACCACACTGTCTTGTATCGTATCACACGGTGGCCTCATCAGGATTGTCGTTCGAACATGCCGTTGCAACATGTAATAATTTCTTTGAATTTTAGGTGCAACAATGCTCTAAGTTAAAGAGCGAGGGACGAAAATTGCTATACCATATTTAGCAAAAAAAGGGTTAGGAGAATTTGTTTGAGGTTAATTTAATTTATGTTATTATTCTTGCTTTTAAAATTTTTTAGAGAATTTTTTTTACATAATTTATTATTTTTAAATTTTTTATAAATGAATCAATTTATTTTTAGTAAAAACAATCAAAATAATTTTTTGGGAATTTTTGTATTTTCTTAAGAGGGACTATCATGGCCAAATATATTTAAATTCAAATTATTATTTCAAAGTAGCAACATTTACACACATCTCACATTATTTCTATGTATTTGCATATCTAATAACTAAGTTTTAATTTTTACATTTATAACATTTAATTTATCCATATTATTTTTGATATGACCATCAACAAATTTTCATCATCCTCCATGAACTCGATACATAACATGACTTTCGATGTAATTTTTAAGCAACAAGTGTTCAATATTCAAACATTGATAAGAAATCATCCAAACCTTCAATTTCAACAAACTTAAGTCAAATTGATCGGTCCAACAAGACAAATCCAACGATACCAAAATTGGTTCATTCCATGTCAAATCAAATTTCAATCGTCATTAAATTAATTTTGAAAGTTTTTCAGGCATAGTTGGGAGGTCAAACAGATTATGAATCTGACAAGCTTATAGTCAAATTTACTATCTCGATAAGATAACTTGATTTCGACATCTTTAAACTCAAATGTTCATCAAATCCACCTGATCAAGGAGATCTCTCTTGGTGGTATGATGAGAGAAGGCTTTTCAAAATAAAATTAACTAGGACATGATAATTATATGAAAGCCACTACTAGATTTTCAAGAACTTACATAAATACCTCACAATTTCTATGTATTTACGCTTCATACACCGAGAGTTTGATATTTAAATTTATAACACTTCAATGTTATAAATCTATAGAAAACAATCAACAATGATATTCTTGATGTAATTAAAAAAATTTGACTGGCACACATATTATGTGCGGATGAGATAGGTGCAGATTGTCAGTATTCTGATGATATTATGGTAGTATTATTGTTATACAATACTATATCACCAAATACTATAAGAATAACATATATAATAATATTATGATAATATTTGTGATTATATTATTTCAAAATACCGTCATAATATCACCAGAATATCACCATTAATATTTTCCCCTCTAACACTGGAAGTGAATCAATGGGGCCCCCCTCTCCAAGTCAGAACAACATCAGAGCTTCCCACATGCGCCGCCGCCGCCTTAATGCTTCTCCGCTCCCCAAACGCAGCAAAGAGAACCACCTCAAGACTCCTCTCCACATCCTCTTCCCTCCATCTCCCTCCCTCATCCAACTCTCCTTCCCACTTTCTATCTCTGCTACAACAATGCCAGTCCCCTTCCCACATTCGCTGCGCGCACCAACAACTCCTCGCCCGAGGTCTCCTCTCCCTCCCCTCTTCATCATCTCCCTCCTCCCATCAACTGGGCGCTGCCATTGCTGCCTCTTATCTCGCTTCAAGTGCCCTAACCGATGCCGCAACCCTTCTGGAGCACCTCTCTCCCTCTCCAATCCTCTTGTGGAATCTCCTCATCCGAAAGAACGTCCAAAACTGCCATCTTTACACCGCATTCTCCCTCTGTTTCAGGCTGCAGCACGCCGGAGCGAGGCCGGATCAGTACACCTTCCCCTTCGTCCTCAAAGCCTGCGGCGAGCTTCCGTCCTACCGCAGGGGAGCTCTGGTCCACGCTCTCATTTGCCGTACTGGTTTTGAATCCAATGTCTTTGTTTGCAATTCTTTGATCACGATGTACTCGCGCTGTGATGTTTTGGAGAATGCCTGCCAGGTGTTTGATCAAATCACTGAACAGGGGATAGATGATGTTATTTCATGGAACTCCATTGTGGGATCTCATGTGAAGGGAGGCCGTCCTCGGGTCGCCTTGAAGCTGTTTGCAGAGATGGGGAATGGAGTCGGCGATATGGGTTATAAGAGAAGGTCTGATGTTATAAGCTTGGTTAACATACTTCCTGCCTGTGCTGCTTTAAAAGCTCTATTGCAGGCTCGAGAAATTCATGGCTACGCAATGAGAAACGGTCTGTGCAGTGAGATCTTTGTGGCCAACGCAGCCATTGATGTGTATGCGAAGTGTGGAAAGATGGAAGATGCACTGAAAGTTTTTCAATCGCTGGAGAACAGAGATGTTGTTTCATGGAATGCAATGGTTACCGGTTACTCGCAAAATGGCAAATTTGATGAGGCTGTTGAGCTTTTGGACGAGATGAGGAAGCATGAAATAGAATTAAATGTCGTAACTTGGAGCTCATTGATTGCCGGGTATGCTCAGCACGGCCATGGCCATGAAGCTCTTCATGTTTTCAGGCAAATGCAGCTCACTGGTTCTGACCCTAATTCAGTCACCATCATCTCTCTTTTATCAGCTTGTGCTTCTGTGGGAGCTCTGTCTCAGGGAATGGAGGTCCACGCTCATGCTCTCAGAAAAAACCTCATGATTCCAGATGCTGATTATGTTGCAGAACAAGAAGATGGAGAAGAAGAAGAAGAAGATCTCATGGTGCAGAATGGCCTCATAGACATGTATTCAAAGTGCAAGCTTTTCACTTCAGCTCATTCAATTTTCAAATGCATACCACTAACCAGAAGAAATGTGGTAACTTGGACTGCATTAATCGGTGGTTATGCTCAGCACGGAGATCCCAACGAAGCTCTCAAGCTCTTCTCAACCATGTTAATGGCGGCTTCCTCACCCCCCAACGCCTTCACAATCTCATGCGCCCTAATGGCCTCCGCCCGTCTCTCAACCCTGCAATTCGGCCGCGAAATCCACGCTTTCGTCTTCCGCAATCGCTACGAAGCCGATACGCTCTTCGTCAACAACTGCCTCATCGAGATGTACTCAAAATGCGGCCACATTGACGCCGCCCTCAAGGTGTTCGACGGAATGCCCCAGAAAAACTCTGTTTCCTGGACCTCTCTGATGATGGGCTACGGAATGCACGGCAGGGGAGAAGAAGCCATATCGATCTTCGCCGGAATGCAAAGCTCTGGCCTTTCTCCCGACAGCATCACCTTCCTCGTCCTCCTCTACTCCTGCAGCCATTCCGGCATGGTAGACCAAGGTCTCAACTTTTTCAAATCCATGGTCGAGGACCACCATCTGGTTCCCAATTCAGAACACTACGCCTGTCTGATAGACCTCTTAGCCCGCGGCGGCCGGCTGAACGAAGCCTGGGAGAAGATAACCCAAATGCAGACGGAACCTTCCTCCGTCGTCTGGGTCGCCCTGCTCGGAGCTTGCAGAACTCATTCCAATGTCCAGCTCGCCGAACAGGCCTTCAAGAAATTACTAGATTTAAACTACATAAATGACGGAACTTGCACTCTGTTATCAAACATCTACGCGAAAGCAGGGCAATGGCGGAAGGTTGCCGGAATGAGGCTTATGATGAGGAATCATGGAATCAGAAAGAGGCCCGGATGCAGCTGGGTGATGGGGAAGAAGGGGGCGGCCGCCTTCTTCGTGGGCGACAGAACTCATCCGGAATCAAAGGAGATTTATGAATTGCTGGGGAGATTGATGGAGAGAATCAGAGGATTAGGGTTTGTGCCGGAGACCGGCTTTGCTCTGCATGATGTGGATGAGGAAGAGAAGAGCTTTCTGCTGTCGGAGCACAGCGAGAGGCTGGCGGTGGCTTACGGGATTCTGAGTTCTTCGGCGGGAGCTACGATTCGGGTGACGAAGAATCTGAGAGTTTGTGGGGATTGCCACAACGCCATTGCTTACATTTCTAGGGTTGTTGATCGTGAAATTGTGCTTAGGGATTCCAGCCGCTTTCATCATTTCAGGAAGGGGTTTTGTTCCTGCCGGGGTTTTTGGTAGAGCTAGTAGCTAACCCTAGCTCCAGCTCCGATTGAAATGGGATTACATACAAAACACTCGTGTAGCATATCCCGACTTGTTAGTTGACATCTATGGTATAAGACCCTTAAAGTTAGGGGTTCAAATCCCTTATGTTATAATTGGCCTTAAGGAGCTGGTGCTCGAATTTTTAGACACATTAGAGGTGGCTGAAGGCTCATATAATAGCATATGATCTTTCTTTTTTTTTTTTAAAAAAAAAAAAGAGAGTATTAGGATGATTTTTTTAAACCACCGAATTGATGTATTTGTATGTGTCAAGATCAAATTACTGAGAATTTGATAGAAATGAAAAACATGGGTTGAGATTTTACAATGAATTTTGATATTTGAGTGAGAATTTGAAAAAAAAAATAATGAAAGAGAGTCGCTTCGTGCAGTGACAGAACCAACATCTTTTTTAGGAGGGCAAATTGTTTTCCTAGACCCAAGTGGGAGGGGGCTCGGGCAATGAAAAACAAAATGATATTTCAGGAGGGGCAAAATGAATTATTTCAAAAGAGACCAAAAACCAAATTGTTGTCAAGTAAAAATTTGAAATTGGGGGCGTTTGATTTATAAATAACTAAGTTCCATGTGGTCTGCATGTAATTGTCCCTTTTATTAATTTGAAATGGTTTGCACTTAAATATTGTAGCATTTTTGGGGGGCATTTACATCATAACGCTGAATTCTTTTATATTTACATGTCTAAAATAAATTTTAGTTTTTATATTTATACCACAAAAATCATTCATTTCATGAAGTGAAATACATCATTTTATGCATAAGTGAGGTGGAATATATGTAAAAAATTTAAGTTTTATATGTTAGATGGGTGAACAAATGAGAGTTAAGTGGTATGTATGTAAATAGTTGGCATTATTATTATTATTATTTTAAGGGGCATTTACATACATAACACATAAGCATTATATATTTACATGCACACCGCTCAAATATTTAACATCATATTAAAAATATCATGATCGTTATTTTTCAAAAAGTAAAATATATACAGACCACTTGTGTCGAGTAGCCCGACCCGTTGGTTGACATCCCCGGTATAAGACCCCTCGGGTTTGGGGTTCAAATCTTCTCTGGAAAAGTTGGCTTTAAGGATGTGGTACTCGAATTGTTAGAAACATTTAGGGTAGCCTTTTTTTTTAAAAAAAAAAAATGTACGATAATGATTTTTTTGAACTACTAAATTGATGTAATTTATGTGTGCCAAGATCAATTAATGATAATTTGATAGAAATGAAAATTATGGGTTGGGATTTTACAACGAATTTTGATATTTGATTGAGAATTTGAAAAAAATAATGAAAGATAGTGGTGCAGCGGCAGAACCAACCACTTTTTTTAGGAGGGTAAATTGTCCCCCAAGACACAAAGTGGAAGGGGCTCGGGCAATGAAGAACAAAATGATATTTCAAGAGGGGCAAAAGACCAAATCCACCTGTCATATAAGCAAAAAATTTGAAGGGGGTCTGCCCCTGGTGAAAATAAATTTTAATTTTTACATTTATACCGCACAAATCGTTCATTTTACGTCATTAGTATTAATATTTCGATTTTTAAAAAGTGAAATATGTGTTTTCATGTATAAGTGAGGTGGAATATATGTAAAAAAATTGAATTTTTAGGTGTGAATACATGAGAATTGAGTGGTGAACATCTTTCTTATGATTTATTTTTTATTTTTATTGCTATAAATTCATATCTAGGTTTGTAAATAATTTTATGCATGTTATTCATGCATGATTTTTGGGGCTGAAAATCAAAATTCGCATGTGCCTATTTATTAATATTTTGTGATAACTATTTTTTACCATTTGCGATCTAATTTTAGTGAAGATCGTTGATTTTTATGTGATATTAAAGATTTGAGGGTTATGTTTGTAAATAAGAAAAAAATAGGAGTATAGTCAGGAGCAAATATTCTATCAGGACTTCTAATGTAGAGAACCATTCGAGGTCCAATGAAATCACATCATGTGGCGGAGACATAAAAAAAATAAAAATATGAGGAATAGTTCCCCGTGTTATTTCGTATTATTCAGGTGTTATTATATATTATTCAAGTGTTATTTTACTCTGGGAATATTCCCGGTGTTATAATAACCAAATAACACATCAATAACACTTGAATAACACACAATAACACCTGAAAAATAGGGGAGAAATATTCTCTTGTGTTATCAGACATATTTTATTTTATTTTTTATCACCGCCACGTGGCGTGATTTTATTGAATTCCGAATGATTCTCTATCTGTCCTGACAGAATAACTTTTCTACAATCAATGACATCATTTAGGTGACGTCACATAAAAGCTGTAATAGCATGGCTTTCTTTATTGTGAGGTCAAAAAAATACGTTGACCCGCATTTAATAATTAATAATTAATATTATTATTAAGGTCCAAATTGTTCCATATGATTTTGGCATAATATAATTAAGTGCAAAGCACTAAAAATATCTTTTAAAGGATACTTACATATATACCATGAAAAAGATTATTATTTACAAATATGACATTATGAGGACATTTTTTGAACTATAAAATTAATGTGTTCACACATGTCCTGAAAAAAAGTTTGAGAATTTAGAAAATGAAAAAAAATATGATTTGAGATTTTATCATAAATTTTGATATTTGAGGGGGAATTTGAAAAATAAATGAAAGAGAGGGGGTAGATTTGCAAATAATAATATTTCGGGGTGCAATGTATATGACTGCCCCAAATTCTTTTATAAAATTATTAAATTATTAAGAAATTGATAAAAATGAAAAATATGTGTTGTAGTTTTAGATTTTTTAATAGATTTTTAATGTAAATCAAATTAAATTCAAATTAATATAAGTATAATAAATATAAATATTAAAATTTAAGTGATAATACAAGATGTATAAGAATTGTGGTTAATATGTAAATTCCCAAATTTAAAAGATTATGTCGATTGAAATCTAAACAATTCACTGCATCATGTTTTAAACATTTTTATGATACTTTTTTTTATTAAGTTTTTTTTTTTGCTTTTCGTATTTTTTTATAATACTTTTTTATTACTCATGTTACCCCTCCTCTGTCGTGTTGCCTTCATTGTGATTTGCCCTATCAAGGGGAGCTCATTGCCCTAACTTGAGCCCTTCTCTCCAAATGCGCATGCGTTTCCATATTGGTACATTTGATCGTCGCTCTTTTGATCTCTCTGCCCCAATTGATCTTGTGGTATATTGGATCTTTGTACTCCCCTCTCTGTTTCGATTGAACTTGGGTTGATTTATGCGATTTTGTGATATGACATGCATATGTGACTTTCATTTGTGAGATTTTTCATAGTTTTATTTTTATATGTTCATCTGTGTTGGTTGAGAGCTCTCTGCCCTAATATTTTTCGTGCATTTGCCATTGGTTCAGAAATTTCTGTTGTTGAATCTGACTTTGTTCGGGAAACAAGGCCCATGTATAGAACATTAGGGGCAAGAGAGAGAGAGAGTAGTATAGGACATCAGAAAATTGACCCCCTATTTATAGGAACGTGTCCAGATTTTACAAAATTACATTCCAATCCTCTCATTGTTAACCTCTTAGAGGGATTTTTTGGTAACCACAAAAATATCCACATATAATAAGACCGAATGATTTATTTTGAGCAGAGGACAACAAAAAATTGACCCCCTATTTATAGGAACGTGTCCAGATTCTACAAAATTACCTCTCAATCCTCTCATTGTTAACCTCTTAGAGGGACTCTTTTGATAACTACAAAAATATCCACATATAATAAGACCAAAGGATTGATTTGGTCGATGAAAAGTTTGTCGGTCGTTCGTTGTGCCTTGAATTTGCCAACAGTCGGTCCAAAAAAAGATGTTTCTTGTTGATCGCCCTGAGTTCCACCGATCGCTAGAATCAGATGTCTCTTTCATCTGTGTCTAACCCAAACGATTGTCAAAAACCTCATACGATTGTACATATCTACCATCCAAGTTGTTTGCCAGTCTCAAGATTTGTGCTGATATATTTTTCATATACAAATTTAATTCTCCAATTATCTTGCTCCTCAGAGGTTGCACAACAACGAGGACAAGAGATATTTTTTAACGCATGAGAAATAAGTAAATATCATTATTGCGTGATAATGAACTCTCTTGGATTTCCGTGCTAAACCTGCTTATAGCAGGCCACGGGATAAGGAGAGTTTGAGCCTTTTCCTTCTCTCTTTTGCTCCTAGAAAATTGTGTCCTCCATTTCAATTTGTCATCATGTCCAACGGAGGAGCATTACTTGCCGACAATGATGCCCTCCTCAAGGCTATGAGTGACATGCATGCGAAGGCTCACAAATCTGACACCAAGCAGAAGATGGGGAGTGAGGTCTTCGCAAGGGAGTTAAGCAAGAAGAGGGTTGTGCAGAAGTGGTGCTTTGAGGAGCGAGCCAGGTCTATGGATTTCCTTGCGGGCTCTTTGCATGAGAAGGCTACGGAGCAGGCTGAAAGTCGTTCTAACATTCGCGTTACAGGGAATCCATCGGAGGTGTATGTTCCTACCGGAGGAGAAATGATGTCTGTTTAAGTTGTTTTAGGGGCAGTGGTTCTCTAAGGAGGCCCTGAGGGGGTATCGGTCAAAGCTGAGGCATGGCTTCAGCTAAAAAAAATGGCTTTTCCTCCAAGGGTGGAGGGCTATGGAAAGTCGATGAGGATCTTTTTTCTTACACCACATTTGAACGATGCAGAATTTTGGGTATTTAGTTTGAATTTTCATTTCTGGTGCTTCTATTCAAAGGGTTTCAGGGCTTTCTCATAGGCGAGGATATACTTGTTGGCCATCTCTAACAACTTGGTCAAGCTCTGTGGCTTTGCGAGTTCAAGGTTGAAACAAAATCTTTTAGACCATACTTTCTATGTCAATGCACCTTGGGCCAAGTCAAGTTTTAGATCATTGACAACCAACATTTCGCTTTGAAAACATGTGAGAAACAAGCGCAAGTTCTCATTGGCTCCTTGCTTCAGTTGTCGTAGGGATCAGACATTCTTCTTAGGCCTCAAGGCACTACCAAACTTCGATAGAAAGTCTCTTAAACTCTGCAAAACAGGTGACTACCCCCACATGCAAACCGCCGAACCACCTTATTGTTGATCTCAACGTTGTGAAGAGTAGTTTATACTTGAGGGCATCAGAAATTTTCAACAAGCATATGGGCGATTCGAACGATGCGAGGTGGTAGTTGGGATTCAACCGTCCTTTATATGATTCTAAGACGGCCAGCTT